CCTCATTCCCCCTTCTGCCATGTAATCTACGCTCCTCTGACGGCACAGCCAAGGCCCGGTGGGAGAGTGCCTATCCATCTCACTACCCCAATCTGCCTCCCCTGTTTGGTTCCACATGAGCACTCAGCTGCTGTGACTAATTAAATAAAGCGCTGTGCCCTCTGCTTCCTGTTAGCCATGGCAAGGTTGGTGCACAGAGATGGAGCAGAGGAGGAGGAGAAGGGGGTGTTGAAGGAGGAGGGGACACAATAACAGCTACCAAGCCTGTAATGATGCTTTGGTCCATGACACAATAGACATGAAAGTTACACTGATGCTGACATGACCACTTTATTTCTTTTATTGTTGCTGTATTGCCCACAAGTCTTTAAATGATTTTGAGCTCAACCATTCATTCTTGTTTTTGTTTTTTTTCTTCAGCCATGACACTACTGAAAAGCTAAGGCCAAGAGAATAATGGTGAGTATGATTTCAGTATGTATGTATGTGGTGTTTTACACACACCTGTGTCTTTATGTGTTGCTCAGGTGTCACAATGTTTTTTCTCCTCATCACAATTGCCTGGCATTCTCAGCAGTAATGCTCTGGAGGAAACAGTGTCTCTGGAGGCTATGGGTAAGTGCTGCTGTAATGAGGCTAGGCTGCATTAATTCAGCAGACAGTCTGGAATATGAGAAGTCTTGACATTTTGATTTCAGGAATCACAGGGTCACTGGCTGATATGACAAATCTATTTCATTTTATCTGGCATGCAAACATAAATTTCCTGGCCTGCTCAAAGCCAATGTTAAGAGTCTGATTAATGGTAAACATTAAGGTGTGAGTCAGGCAACCTGTCTTTCTCTCTGCCAGTCATCCTCATGAAGTTTTCAATCTGCCAACTGTAGCTTGTTAGCAGCTGCAGCGGACCATTTTAACGTTTACAATAGGAGCCTTACATAATAAGGTTATGCTATTAACATTATATTATGTGCATTGCTACGTTTATATAATGGCAGCACAAATAATATTTTTCAGTATGGTTTTCTGCTCAATAATGGCAAGTAATATATGCTTATTTAAAATCCTCATGCTAATAAGACATAGTATTGTGACCAGACTTTCAGCACCATGGACAGTTCTGCGTCTCACACAGTAGAAGAAGGTTGTTGAAGGAAAATGCAAAAGTTAATGTCAGAATGGGTTGTTCACATTGCTTGTTGACGTAGATAGATTTCATTCTCTAAAAAATCCCTCTAATCTTTTTATAATTATGTTGTAATATTTTCCTTATTGGGACAGTCCATACTGAGAGACAAAGAGGGAGCGGGGGGGCTGACCCAGATGAACAACCCGACAGAAAGAAGACTATTGATAACTGGGAACACCAACAAGCAGATTAGTAGCTGGACTCTCCCTGTAGGCCATGTGGAGATGCGTAATCTGGGAAATGGTGTGACCAGACTGAGAGGAACCTTATCTGTGGATCGATACATGGAGTGGTCAAATAAAATATAGATGGAAGCATCTCTGGAATGACTGACCAGAGCTTCTTCCATGCCTTCTGACTCCTGATATCACTGCATCTCGCTCTGTTGTGTGTTACTTTCTGCTAGGTGCATGATTAGGTGGAGGTAGAACATTTTGCTGCAGTGTGGCTTGACTCACCCATGAGTGAGCTAGTGTAGACTGGTCTGTCCTCCCTCTTTTTGCTGCAATTAAGGCTGTGTACTCTGTATAAGGCAGAGTAATGGCTGTATTCCCCATTTTCTAATGACTCCACTCTAGTAGCAGGCTGACCTGGACCAAGAGCAGCAGCAGTAATACAGTATTATGCATTAATACAGGCAGGCAGGCATTACCAATAGTGATAGGAGCCATGGTGCTGGCACTGTTGGACCCTGTGGCCCTTGGGAGAGGAATAGGACATTCCCAGCACTGGCCCCATGTTCACTCAACCATTGACACCCTGTGTCAGGCACTATATCCCTCCCTGGGCACAGCACATGGACCTCTATAGGCCAGGAAATCCCCAGACCTTGGAGCTATTTTGGGAAAGCTAGAGTAAGCACCAAAGGGCAGGAGTTGTGAGGGCAGGGGATATTTTTGTGTTCTGAGAATAATATTTTTTTCAATTTTTTTGAGACATAGATGTTTTGATATTTGATGCAGATATTTTTAGAGGCACTCCATCAATTTTGATTTGACAGATATTGAAGTTTTTGTCACTATGGTGCTGGAGTGATAAGAGGATGGTGTAGCTGGTCTGTCTTTTGTCAGAAAATGAGACACAATGTGATACATTCAGCTGTTGGTGAATATTTCCTGCTGTTCAGGGCAATTTAAAATGTATTCTGCTAATAAAGGAAACCCGTACCAGCTGTCCCCACATGCTTAGACTTCACAGAATCTTAGAAGCAGAACATACTTGATGTACTTTCTATATTTGATGTCCATGGCTGTGGACTGTTGTGGAGGATATAAAGAAAAATAAACTGGATGTTACTGCTCAGTCGCACCACTGTCTGTGAGTCTGTTACTTTACTATCTTTCATTATCATACAGTATGGACCCGCACAGGATCTGCTCTTCACTGTGCTTCTAACTCCTACTTTAATAACCAGCAGTCTGGTGTCCGTAAGTGTGAATACTTTTTATTACAAGGTTGGACAGTTACAGCTTGTTTTTATTATACCCTGATTGGTCATTGCCATAAAGCCACGGCATGCAGAGTGAGTAGAAGATGATGGAAGGTGCAGAAAGTAATTTCCTGTAACTAGCCAAAATAAAGTCTGGCCAGTACGAGTCAAAGAGAGGACATTTGTCATTACTGTAGTATCCACTGACCTTCACTGAGGCTGTTAATGCTAGGTAATATCCTGCAAGCACCTAGACCTCTCCACTGCTGAATCATCCTGGATCAATTATTCTAATATTTGTGTGGCAGTTTTGCTATCGATTAATGCATTTATGCAGAGTGTGGCATATCTTATTTAATAAAGCAAGGCTCTGCATTTAATTAAGTTGTTTTTAGAGTCAGGCGGCACTTTGTTTTCATAAACCTTTGCCTTATCGATACACGTGTTCATTCGTGAATTATGTTTATCTGCTCGAACTTTTATTGTTTCATTACTAGCAGACCAGCACAGATAACATAGTAAATGGCTATGTGCAGCAGACTCAATATTTTGTAGAGTGCTCACTGCTTTTGTTGCCATCTTTAGTGGCTAAGACTTACTGTGTTATTTTAAATGCTACATACTGATCATTATGGCAAGTTCTGGAAACTTTGGCAATAGTAGAAGTAGAAATGTTCAGTGAATAAAATTTGGAATCTGCATTTTAGGCAAAGGAATTTCCCCTGCGCTTAAAAATTAGGTTTTCTTTTTATTCCTACAGTTGGGTGTTTGAGATTCATTGTGCAGAATGATGTATGTGCAGAGTTTGACACTTGAAGGATGTTTTCACTTTCATCTGCTGAAAGTGGAAGGTTTCTCTGTGCTCACTGAAAATCTGATTTTAAGGGGCAGGGACTACGAGCATGATTTAGTTCACAAATAGTCATCCCAGGTCCAGTATACAACTTTTACAAGTGTGATGTAGAAACGTGAAGCCACCAGTGCACATACAGTAAGGACGAACTTGCAGTGAAGTAAGAGACATTTTGTGTCCAGCAGGAAAACTTTAGAAATGAACACAATTTGCATATTTATAGTTTCTGGAACTTTTAATGAGTTAGAAGAAGTTGTTTTTTAAGGATTTCAATGTGGAAATAATTTGTGGAAAAAACACATCAGACACACATTATTGTTTCAAGCAGACAATTTGTATATGTCTAAATAAATGTCTGGAAAGGAAGCAAATCTTTATTTATCACCTGAATGTACTGTATGTAGGGGGTGGATGGTTGCACTAATCGTCCCTCCTCCTCATACTGCATGTCAAGACTACATAAATGTGCGTAAAAATCCACAATCCGTTACACTAATGCAATGCTTCAGAACACTAAGTGAGTCAACTGGTTATTTTCCAAAGCTACCATCTTTTTTGTTTGAAATGCCTCGTTTGTATTTGACAGTGGAAGGATACTGATTTACTCACTGATAGTTTTACAGTGCCTTATGAAAAAAAAAAGTAAAATCAGTGTTATTGTTCTTTGTGCACTGGAGTTAATGCATCACATCACACAATTGACTTATGTGACAAGCAAAAATGCCTTAGACATTTTAACATTGTCTAGAGAAACGTTACAACTTTCCAGGTAAAATTCTGCATTGGACTGCGAGACCTTTGTTCATAATCTACAATGATTTTCTGTGTAAAGGGGAAATAAGGAATGGTTTTGTGCAGAGGTTTGGCCTAGCCAGAGAGGGCTGCAAATGAGAAGAGAATACATATTCAAAGGGACACATGAAGGGAATAAAGGAAACTGAAATGAGGAGCTTCACGGATGGTCCCGGTCATCTACCTGACGACTTTCGATGAATTCCAATAAGAGCGCAGATTACATTTTGGTTACAGATCAGCCCTATAGGTGCAATTAGTGCTAAAGAATGGCCCTTTTCAGGCTCCTTAATCAGAGTCGTGAATTATTGATTTAATTCACCCCTATATATTCACTTAAACACTGGACTGTCATGCTAAGAATATATCTCATTGTTATACTTGTTTGAAGTAATAGCTCAGGGTTTACTCTGTCATGGTTTTCTAAGTACAGCCTGCATATAGGTAGTCCTCTTTCAAAGGATGGGAAAGAGATAAAGGGGTAAAAAAGAGTGAAATTTGAAAGGAGAAAACTAGCCTAAATGTATTTTAAAAGTCTGCTGCAGTCAGGTGTACGAGATGTGATGTGAGCTCTAGGGTGATATGATTTTTTTAGTTGGTGGAAAGAAGTTTGAAGCAGTAGGACAGAGTAAACAGAGGAGAGCTCCTCCGGTTCCCCTCTGCTGTATGTGGCAGGTGAGGCCCGGCAGACACTGATGATGTCAGACAGGACACTTACGTTGGACTCTCTCCAGGGAGGTGTCTTGAAGTGGAGTTTGACTCACTATTCCAGTATGTCTGATCTCTGCATTATTTATGCTTTTGTCTCAGCCATTTATCAGCAATTTTATACCTCGCAGCCTCATTCTCCAGTACATCTCCTGTGATGGAATGGGCTGCAGCGATGATAGCCTCTGAGGGACGCCAATAACCGAATATAGTAGCTCATATTGATATCAGAAAACTGTGGAATGGACAAGTGTGCTGCGTAGCAGTCTCTGCATACTGTTGAGAACCTTGGCAAACATCCATTCACATCAAAATAGTGCATTGAAAAATAAAATATAATCAGGAAAATGCTGTGCTGGCTCCACTTTCTTACCTTTATATTAATTTTTAGGACATGAAACTGGTAATATGTGAGCTGTGGTAGGAGTTGCACAGCAACTGAATCCCTGATCAATGACAGCTAATGAACACGGCAGGAGTTCTGCTCTGTTTGCCTCTCGACAGAGAGCTGCCTTCTCCAGAGAGCTCTTTTTCTCCTGTTTTTGCCAGAAAAGCACAGGAGCCTTCATTGAAACCAACTGCCTCTGGGCTCAATTAACTACCATAGATTACTCATAATGCAGATGAAAGACTGTATAAGATCA